ATATGAATTAAGGCCAATTACAAAAATAAATGTGTTTCAATTAATTTTATTTATATATTATATAATTGAAATTTATTTATATTATAAGACGTTTGATTGTATTCGTAAATTTGATTCCAAACAACTTACGTAAATCCCTTTTAAAACGTAAAACATGACATTCGTTTTATTGGTTCTAATCGATCTGTCTTTTTAATTACTTCCTTTGAAAATTCATCATCGCGCGTTCCCAGATAGAAAAATATCTGTTATGGAGAAAAAGAAAAAAAAAAACATATCGAATGACGTGTCAGAAACAAAACGATACAACAACAATCGTACATACGGGATACATATATATATATATATATATATATATATATTTCTTTTTACAAAGCTCGTGATTTCTGTGATGGTTAATAGGTGAGTTTGGAAAATTGCTTCGTCATACGAGAGGAAATATTATTTTCTATTAACAAATACACGTTGATAATTAATCTAGAGAAAATAAAGACCATAAGGAATAATCGAAAATATAATTTGATGTCCCTTAAAGCTTTTTCAATATTCGCGTATAAATTAAAATTATATTTAAATATTAAAAATGCAATCTCATATACGAAAAAAACAATAATGCCAACGTATGGGTGGTAAATCGGTGATCCTTCAACAAATTAAAATCTCGGAACCAACACGATTCGCGTATTTCTTTTTTTTCATTAGATTATTTTTTAACAATTCGTTAAAACGTGCGCGTCGGTAACAATTATTTTTATTAATTGAAAAAAATTATCGAAGGGAAGAAAAATAATAATAATAAAAAAAAAAAGAAAAAAAGAAAAAAAAATATACATTATAATAATAATAAGAATAATAATACGTGAGAGTTAAAAAGGAAGAATATTAAAATGAATTCTCGAATGGAAAGAATAGGGGGAAGGAAAAAAAAAGAAAGGAAAAAAACCATGGTAAAAGCAAATCGATAAAAATGTGCAGATTGAAAGGTAAACAGCACTTGCAATGCTATTCGTAAATCGAGTTGCATGCATCGTAAAAGACACAATAGGACATCGCGTATATGTGAATGTATATATATATATATATATATATATTCTACATATGTATATATCCTACAAATTCCGATAGTTTCTGTACCGTAAACGTGACTGCCAGTACAATCACGGATGCACGACCCGTTGCGATACTAGTTTCCAAAGCTCACAGCTTTCTCTCATTCTCTTTCTCTTTGTACTGTCATACTACCCTCCCTCCTTTCCTACATCCCTACTCTCAACCCCTTCATCCTATTTCAACCACCTCTTTCTTTCTCTTTCTCTCTTATTTTCACTTTTCTTTTTTTAACTTATACCGATTTATCCTCCTTATCGCGAGAAAACATACAACGTTTCAACATTTCATGCTTCGCAATTGTTTTTCTTTTTTTTGGAAGAGATTTTTTATGCAGCTCAATTTTGTGTCAGAAATTTTTATCGAATTATTTAATTTTATTTATGTTACGTGTATATTAAGTTTGTTTCTTTGTAATGTATATAATGTGTTCTGAATTTTTTAGAATTATTATTTATATAACTCGTTGTTTGTTTTTGTTTGTTTATTAATATATATATATTGTAATCGTTGTCATGATACAAAAAAAAAAAAAGAAAAAGAAAATCGAAACATTGTTATTTCATCATATAATTATAATAAACTTTTATTGGTTGCATCTGAGCTCGCTTATTGTAAATCGAATAGTTTCCTTTTATCGGAATACTGTCTACGCTGTGGTCGGAAATTGGATTCGGAAATCGCAAGTTGTTGTAGAGAAAATGATAGTAGAAGAAACAGCGTAATAAAAAAGTTGATGCGAATCTAGGAATATCGGAAGATAATCGTTGCAAAAAAAAAAATCGAGTACTATTATAATATATACTATTATACTTACTAAATAACATACTTTAATATATAACTTTAATCATCGAATATAAATTTCTTCAAATTATTCTCTAAAACGTAAAAAATAAAATCTGCATTTTACTGTGTACTAATATAGAACACAGAAAATTAAGACGAATAGGATAACTGAAACAAATTTTCAATTAAATTAAATTCCTAATTATTATATAGAAATTTTGAAAAACAAACTAACAAAATAAAAAAATGATTTCCTGTAAAAAACAATCTTTACACTTGTATTCGTTTTAAGTTAGTATTTCGAAATAAAATTATATTTATAATAAACGTATACGTAAATACCTTTATGTACCTTCGTTGAAAAGTCGATCACGTATCTGGCCCTTGAAAATATTATTCGGCCCTGAAAATAAAGAAAATAAAAATTAACCGAAAATAAATTCGTTACGAATGCAACGATACAAAATAACATATATACATATATTTATTCTGCATGGTGTCTACAAAATAACAATATAATTTGTATTCGTAATCTTAACAATGGATTAAATAAAAAGAAAAAAAAAAAGAAAAGAAAGTAATCCTAAAATTAAAAAAACCTAATCTTTGATTTCAAAACAATTACAAAAATACCACAGAACAAACAGAATAATAAGATGCTTAATTAAAACTTGACGTTCAAAATATACTAAATCCAATCATTATAATATTATATAAAAATTTAACAATCATTTAGACAGATTTCAAAATCATTCTTTATGGGAAAAAGAGAGAGAGAGCAACTTGTCCTGCTGAAGAACGTAAGCAGTGTCGGAAGGAATGAGAAGAAGGAAAAAATATGGGGGGAAACTTGGTTGAAAGACAGGGACAGAAATACACAGGAAAAACGGATAAAAAAAAAGAGAGAGAAAGAGAAAGAGAATGCAGGAACCGGCCGGAGAATGACACGGACAGAGTACTGCAATTTCGTGCAATACCACCGGAATACCGGGCGTTTCGGGAATGCGGATCAGCATTTTCCAGCCTCTCTTCTTCTTCTTCTTCTTCTTCTTCTTCTTCTTATTCTTCTTCTTTCTTCTCTCCTTTCTCTTTCTTTCTTTATTTCATTCTATTTTCTTTCTCTATTTTTCTACTTTACCAGCAAGCTAGAAGATGTCTTACGAGCACCTTTTCTTTTTTGGTAAAACTCTCCTCTCTCTCTCTCTCTCTTTCACTCTTTCTCTCTCTCTCTCTTTCTTTCTCTCTGTCTTTCTGTCTTTTTTGTTTCTCTATTTCTTTCTCTTTCCAGTACCCTCGGGAACGTTCGTTTCGCATTCTTTTATCGTTTCCTCTTACGTCGCATAGAACAAGCTAGCAAGTATCGTAGAATATATCTAAGGTAAAACCTGTTTAGTATTATTTTCCCCCTGTAAACGATTTTCCCCTCGTCAGTGTTTCTTCACAGAGTTAAACCAACAGTCGAGAATTTTCCTTTTTTATTTTATTTTATTTTATTTTACCCTCGATCGAGAGAGAGAGAGAGAGAGAAGAGTTAAACAAGATTAACGTGACAACATTCGTATTGTACAATCCCTTTAACCCCCATCAATCTATTACATTCTTATTGAATACCACGTTACCGTTGTTTCTACAATCCGAATTGAAATTCAAATGATCAATGATTTAGAATTTCAATCTATCGTATTATATACGTTTTATAACGATTTCAATTATGTTTGCTTTCGAATTTCATTGTTTCACGAATGTTTTCGACAATACACGCGTGTGAAAAAAACATAACAAAATAAACAATCTTAAATACGTCAATAATGTGCATTGCAAAATGCATTATCGTTTATCAACGATAGTTCGAATTCGAAAATTCTGACAATAGGAATATTATTTTCTAAAGTTAATTATATACGAAATTCAATAAGTATGGAAAAATGGATTTAATGGGAATTAAGTTAAATTATTAATTAATTTCGAAATAAATGTATCTCTCTTTCTTTCTCACACGCACGCATGCATGCACGCACTGTTACGTTCGACGATAAAATAATAAGAAAATAAAAAGAGAATAAGAAAAGAGTATAAGACGGGGGAGGGGGATAGGGGATGGTGGTTGATGATGGTGGTTTGGGTACTAAAAGAATTTTTTCAGACGGAAAAATCGTTCGTAGCTCGATGAAGAACAAGTTTTTCCCGATCGACTTACATTCTCCTAAATTTTCTATTTCATTCTGCTCCTTCTTCTTCTTTTTTTTTTGTTTCTTTTCCGAACTACCCCTTTCATCCAAGGCGCATTTTTCTCAACGATTCTCGCGCCACTCTCTCTCCCTCTCTTTCTCTCTCTCTCTCTCTCTCTTTCGAAAACGCGTTCAGGAATTGAAACGCTTCGTTCGGTTTCCGAACAAACGAAACTTTCTCACGAAAAACTTTTCACCTATTCGTCGAAGGGAGGTGGTGGTGATGGAAAAGAAAAAGAAAAAAAGAAGAAGAAGAAGAAGAAGGAGAAGGGTTTGAGGTATAAAGGGATGAAAGGGGTACAAGGGGTGCAAGGGGGTAAGAGGAACGGGGTTAGCAACGAGATGGGGAAATTCGTAGGAGCAAACGGGGCCGCATCGAAATAATTATCAGCGGCAAGCGCGTCGATAATTCGCAAACTATGCGAGCAGTAAGAGAGAGAGAGAGTGAGAGAGAGTAAGAGAAGGGGTGAGAAAGGGGAGAGATTGTTCAATGGCTTCCTGAACGACCATTGTCCGAAGGAATATCCGGAGCTCCGGTGTATATCCATCGGCTGGTTGCTCGAACGCCTCGAGGAATTCTCAATAATCCGGAGGTTAGTACCTACGATGGAGAAACCTTCCTAACGAGTAACAAAGTTTTCTAATGGGACATGAAATAACACGCTTATTTAACGCTACAATTTATTATATATATGTATATATTTTTTTATATATTTTTCTTTTTTTAAAATTTTTGTTAATTTTTATTCTCGGTTCTTTATATTATCGAAGATGTCGTCCACTGTGTTTGTATTCCATTTGCATTATAAAGAAAAATGAAATATAAGATTGTTATTAAGAAATGTTTAAGTTTAAGTAGGTACGATTAATTGGTCATTGATAAAAAATTTAATATTAAATTATAATAGTGTAATATATACATTATTCTGAAGCTTATATGATTTAATTATCGATGGAAGATTCATTTAGAATGGTACATGCATTTTATTATAACTTTTTAAAATAGTCTGTTGAGTTATTAAAAATGTGCAGCAAGTCAAAGATGAAAAAATAATGCA